GGGTCTTGCCTCTAGCCTCTTTGCAGGGAGTTCTGCTAAAGGGTTCTGTGCTGGGCCTGCACTCTGGGTCTATTCAGGATCCTGTGGCCTCCATCATCGTCTCATTCACTCGCAGTACCTACGCTCGTGGTCTATTCAGGATCCACAGGGTCCCAGGTCGTCTCACTCACCGGGCCTGCGCTCTGGGTCTGTTCAGGATCCCGTGGGCTGGGTTGTCTCACTCACTCGCCGGGCCTGCACTCTGGGTCTGTTCAGGATCCCACGGCCCGGGTCGTCTCACTCACTAGCTGGGCCTGCGCTCTGGGTCTGTTCAGGATCCCACGGCCTGGGTCGTCTCACTCACCGCCGGGCCTGTGCTCTGGGTCTGTTCAGGATCCCGCGGCCCTCGGTCGTCTCACTCACCGCCGGGCCTGTGCTCTGGGTCTGTTCAGGATCCCGCAGTCTGGATCGTCTCACTCACTCCCAGGGCCTGCGCTCTCCTGACATTAATTTATATTTGTAATAACACTATGAAATGCTAATAAAACTTATGTACACAGTAAATACACATCCTCAAGAGTGCCTTTGTCTAACATATTACAGACACGGGCTAAATATTTTAAACTTACTGTTAACATTCCTCAGTGTTAAATATAAGCACCAGCAAGCTCTCTAGGGGTCCTATTGGAGGAAAGAAGGTATTAATCCTGAGCTGCCAGGCACTGAAATTGTACCTGTGTGTCTCTTCGGGGGTAACAGGGAGCAAGGCAGGCCTTTGTTTTATTGACTTTATTAGTTTTGTTGTAAATTGATGAATGGTGGGATTATTTTACTGTTAAATAGAGATGCAGGGTTGCTTAGTTTCTTTGGCACATATTAGGTATAATTTGATTGATAACAATTAATCGCAAAGCTTTCATTTCTCTGGTATGTAGGCTATCCACCTTTCTGCTCTGAAACTCCTCAGGAAACATACAGAAAAGTGATGAACTGGAAAGAAACTCTAGTATTTCCTCCAGAAGTACCTATCTCTGAGCAAGCCAAGGACTTAATTCTCAGGTGAGCTGCTAAGTTCCAGAGGAATGCGGGGCATCTCCAAGTTTCCAGTGACTAATGCGTCGGTTTCATTTTTGTGAGAAGAAAGAGAAAGCACTTATCTGTAAGGTCAAAGAGGTTAATAAAGAAAGGTGTTTTAAAAATTAAATTCCTAGGAAGAATGTTTGCAGGAAAAAAATGGGAGTTAAAAAGAGGGAAAAGGCCTGGTGGTGGTTTGGGCACTGACTGATGTAAGCTAAGTGCAGAACGTTGCCTTTGTTGGAATGCAGTATGCCATTAAAAGGAAGGTGTGTCTGTTCTACAGGCACTCCTGCCGGGAGTCTGTGCATGACATCTGGGCAGGAGGCTGCCGGGGGCTTCCCAACAGAGTAGAGTGTTTTGGTGCTGTTGTGAGTCGCTGAACGGAATATAAATTGGGATAGTTAATTAGTAGCATGTTACAGAATATTTTAGGGTGGTGGTGACCTGTGATCCAGCAATCTGGCTTGTAGGAATTTTGGTTATGCTGATAATCAGATATGTCTAATGATATTAGTGTATTTATCATAGTAGTATTTTGGTTACAAAAATTAGAAAGCATATAAATATTAAGAAATATTTTTAAAAATAGTGGACCTGCTAAATAAGTTATGGTTTCTCCAGATATAAATTGTAGAAAACTAATTTATAGAAAAATGTTTAATAATTGAGAAATTTTCCTGTGTTAAGTGAGAAAACTAACCCTGAATGAGTCAAGAGATTAGGAGAGAGGTTCAGACTACTTACAGTAATTATCCTTAAATAATGTAATAAGAGATGACTTTGATTTTCTCGTTCATTTCCCACAATGAACACAGTTAAGTTTAAAGCATTTGAAATGATGTGACTCTGGGTGGATGTGATGTGTGTGTAGTAATGGCTGTTTCCTTTCCTTGCTTAGATTTTGTATTGATTCTGAAAACAGAATTGGGAATGGTGGAGTAGAAGAAATAAAAGGCCACCCCTTCTTTGAAGGTGTAGACTGGGGGCACATAAGGTACGTTCCTAGGGTTGGCATGGAGTGGCCAAGGAGAGGGCGAGTCCATGTTAGCGCTGACTGCACGTGGGAGGTCGCACTGTGCCCTGCTCGTGAGGCTGTGCCTTGGGACTCCTCGCTCTAGCAGCGTGACTCATCTTGGGCTAATGATAAGGCAACACTCGGGAGCTGCTTATCATTTTCAGTTGTGGCCATGCTGCCTCCACAGTTCATTCTTCTCACAGAACACTGGGCAAACATGCATCGGACAGCACCTCGTTCCCTCCCCTTTGTACCTAGGATGAGCTAAGAGCCCCTGGTGGGCCTGCAGGGGATCTTGCTGGACACATTGGGTCTTGGAGTTCTTTGGTCTGCTACGCATTCCTGCTGGAGTGTTCCTCTCTGGCTGGTTTTGGCCTCTGCCCCTGCCTGCCTCGCCTTATCTTCTGAATAGCTCCTGTCACTTCCTCAGCGTAGACCTTCCTGGAGTGCTCAGTGTGATCCTACCTGTTCTAAGAACTTTGATATTTTGATCATTGGTTATATGTCCACTTCCTTTATAAGTGCTTATCATCTTATCATGATAAACTGTATGAGCTAGGAGCTGTTTTACTGATGAGGAAACTTAAGGCCTAGAGAAGTACATTGGTACCTCAGTTCAGGAACTCCGTTCCACAATTCTGGTCATAAAATGAACTGGATGAGAACCGAGTCAAATTTTTCCATAAGGCCAACATTGAACCTGTTCATTGAATTTGGTTCAGTTTTTGTCCGTCTCAGTTTGCGACCAAAATAGTGGGAAGAATCAAGTTCATGAACTGAGGTACCCATATAATTTGCCTACAGGGTGGCAGCTAAGTAAATGAAAGGGCTGGTATTAGACCCAGGCAGTATGAGTGTGTTTTGTGGCGGAAATTGCCTTGGGGCCTTGCATGTGCTCTAAACTGGGATACATCCCCAGGCCTTAGAGCCCTGACTCCTTAACTGCTGCCGTACTTAACCTCATCTCACTGAAGAGAAGGCTGATCCCTACCTCAGTCTTTTTTTTTTTTTTTTTTTTGGTGATACTAGTGGTTGAACCCAGAGCCTTTGCACGGAGCTACATCCATTGCCCAAGCGAGGCTCGAACTTGAGATCCTCCTGTCTCAGTCTCCCACGGTTATAGAATATTAGGCATGTACCACCACACCTGGCTGATAACCCTTACTTGTAAAATTGAAAGAATGCCTGGAGACATTCTGTGGGTTTCAGAATGAGGTGACGGTTGTAGTAGCGATTTTTGCCTGCCCAGGTTCATAGTGCTAGTTAATGACAAGAATGGTTAGATCTCAGAGAGCCACTAAATTTATGGTTCTTTCCACTAAATTTATGAAGCTGATATATTAATTGTATATATGTTGGAATAATTCTGGTAAAAATACAAACAGTGTATTTTTTTTTACATAATTTGATAAACTTAGTGGATCCAGTTGAAAGACTGACAGCTTCTTTTAACTTTCTATAGCTTAGTGTTGTTAGCATAATCAAGTGTTTTTGTGGCTAGTTTGTTTTAACCCAACATCCCTGATTCTATTAAAATGTGTGACTGAGAGGCTTCTGCATTCAGATGTAATCTTTTGTGCCTGCATTTTCCCAAATGATGCTACACTTAGAACTAGAACAGTTCTAGGCCTAAATCACTTAGTCCTAAGGACAGTACCCAGTCCTTGCAGTATCCCTCATAGTTTATATTGTCTTTAAATAAAATATCTTGTTTTACTTTTCATTAGTTTGTGTTTTTCCACTTAAAAAGTAGTGTGAGAAGGGCCAGCCAGATAGCTCAGCGGACTAAAGTGCCTGTTTAGGCAGAGTGCAGCAGCTGGAGTTCGATCCCTGGCATGCCATGCCAGCCCCGTGCCCTGGGCGTACTGAGCCGGCGACTGAGACTAGGCGTGGTGGCATGCTCCTATAATACCAGCACTTGGGAGGCTGAAAACAGGAGGATCACTATGAGTCTAATCTGTGTAGTGAGACCCTGTACTAAACACATTAAAAAAAAAGAAAAAAAAAAGAAAACTCAAGTTAACTGTGGTTGTTCAATACTTTTTTTATAGGGAAAGGCCAGCAGCAATCCCTATAGAAATCAAAAGCATTGATGATACTTCAAATTTTGATGACTTCCCTGAGTCTGATATCTTACAACCAGGTAAGACAGTTCTATAATATGACCCACACTATTACGGTCTGTTAAGATGGTGTCATTACACTAATGGGATTATTTTGCTTTTGGTGAATTTTTTTCTCTAGTGCCAAACACCACAGAACCAGATTACAAATCCAAAGACTGGGTTTTTCTCAATTACACCTATAAGAGGTTTGAAGGGTTGACTCAGCGTGGCTCTATCCCCACCTACATGAAAGCAGGGAAACTGAGAGGAGATCCACTGTGTCCACAGCACGAGCACTCAGGGAGCTGCACGCAAGTCCTGCTCAGCACCGATCTCCAGACCCTGAAGTCTCCCAAGGATGGTGGTGCTCACTGACGACAGGAAATTCGGCAGGACTAGGCTTCTAAGACTACTACAGGAACGAATGAGTTGGCAGTGCCAGCTGTCTTTTTTAAAAAATATTTTTATTATTTTTTCTTAACTGTATTATCCGAAGGTACTGGAATAAAAGAAATGTACATCCCTTTCTGGCTGCGCTGCCCGCCTGCATCGAGAGGGCCGTCCCGCCTGTGTGTGCTCTGGCTTTGGACTGGGGCTCCTCTGGTCAGCTTGGAGAGACGCAGCCGGCTGGCACAGCGTAGGCCCCGGCGGGCAGCACTGCGTCACTGCGGTTTCCCTGCCAACCTCTTGGGTCTACACTCATCAGTAAAAGCCATCTTCCACAGCTGATGTTAGAACCTTTGCCCTAGTGGTTTGTACAACTGTAGAAAATATATGAAAACAATTTCTGTAATGCTTTTAAGAAATTCAAAAAGAATACACTGGTTCTTTAAAAACAGAATTTATCATTAAGTTACTATACAAACTGCACAGTAGGAAAACTTTTCCTTAAGGCTTTTTATTTGGCATTCAGAAATACTGATGATATACATAGTCTGTGTGTTCATAGGGAGAAGTACTGTATTATATAAAGTGTAAAATTTCTTTGTGACGCGAAAATTTTTTTTAACAAGACATGGCATTATTTTAATTTGATTATGGCAAGTTAAATTTCAGAAATGGCCATGAAGGCTGCTTTTAGAACCTAGTGTATTTTTATTAAGCTATTTTTTTAAATGTCAAACTTCTAATCATGTAAATGGACTTATAAGAACAAAGAACTATTTACTTTGTTTTTCTAGAAAATCGCTATGTATCATGCCTGGTTAAGTTTTTCTTTCTTTGGATGAAAAATTTTCCTTTGATATTCTTGTCTTATTGTGCCATTATTTTCTTCTGCTCCAAATGTACCAAAGATCCTGGACAGAGTCAATGTTCCCAGCTGGGTGGAATTGTGCTCTCCTGTGGGAGTGCTGTGTCCAGACATGACAGGTCCTCAGCGGCGGTCCACCTGTC